GATGCAAGAAGCGGGAAGCTGATCAGCTGAAGTTGTGCTCAGGGTGGTCGCTAGTCATGCAAATGCTGCACAGGTGGGAGCACCTCATGTCTGGTGCACACGCAGACCTGCAGCACTGGAAAAATCACAGCCACATTACGGGCATCGGACTCGGTATGTACTATTCCTGGCCAGTGTCTACTGAGCGCGGCGATGTCATTCCGTTTGGTTACACAAGCATGGTGTTCGAGCAGATCTCTAAGCAGAGTTTGCCATTGGCGCGGCGATCATACTGTCCAACGACAAACTCGACCGAGTTTGCCGTTGGCCAGTGTCTACTGAGCGCGGCGATCATACTGTCCGGCGTTGGTTACACAAGCCGCGGAATACTGTCCGGCGTTGGTTACACAAGCCGCGGCGATGTCATTCCGTTTGGTTACACAAGCTGGGGGCGCAGCGATCATACTGTCCAACGGCAAACTCGGCCGCTATCTAGGATGCGGTGCTGGAGACAGGGAACGTCTCCACCGAAGAGGCCTCTATGACGACAGGCCTCTCTGACAGCTGATCGAAATGACTATGTTGATGGGGAGGACAGGCCTTTGTGACAGCTGATCTGAATGAATGTGTTGACGGTGACGTCGATGAGGAAGGGGAAGGGGAGGAGGAGGAGGAGGAGGAGGAGGAGGAGGAGGAGGTGGTGCAGGAGGAGGGACTAGGAGAGAGGAGACGAGGAGGAGGAGGTACAGGAGAAGGAACCAGTTGACAGAGGGGATGGTGCAGTGGAAGATGTAGGTTGGGGAGCTGGTGGCGATGATGGTGGTGGTTTTGGTAGCGATGGAGGAAAAGATGGTGGCGGTAGTGATGGCGGCGGTGGGGGAGGAGGCACACTTTCAGCAGCAGTCGTGGCATTGGTAGGATGCGCAGGCCATTACCCACTTCAATAACATTTCCATTGTCTGTTGAGGTTGGCCTGCTCTCCAGCTGTGTTGCTGTATCCACATTAGCGTCGGCCCGTTCAGTACTGCATTGGTAGGGAAAACAGGAGATGGAGCAGCAGTCGCGACATTGGTAGGTTGCACCGTTGCAGGCTTGCAGCCCTTCTACTGTCAACACTGTCTGTTGCAAAAAAAAAAAAACAAAAAAAAAAACATTGTCTGTTGCGATGGGTGGTTGTCTCCATCTGTGTTGCCATGTGAGGCCCATATCCACATTAGTGTCTGCCCTTTCGGTACTAAATTGGTAGGAAAAACAGGAGACGGCGGGCCTGCTCCGTGATGCTGCCTTGTTCAGAATCAGTGTTCAGGAGTTGTTGGGGGCACATTACGTGTTGGTTGTGTGGAGGGCTGATGCTGCCTGTCCGCAGAATGAGCACTCGACAGTGGGTGAGCAATTGGCCAGTGCACCACGATGCGAGGAAACCAGTTTGAGAGCCGTGTGACTTGAGTGGGTAGCCGACGCTGCCGGCCACGCACATATGCAGTCCAGCCTCCGGCCAGGACAGGATGACCCCTGGCAAGCATACACCAACAATGTGTGTGTGTCCTAGGTTCTCCCCACAACAGCCCCCCTGTTCCAGAAGATGACTAGATTCACAATCGTAGCGGGTTTACCTGTACTGGAGACAATGAAGCAACCCTTGAGATGAGCCAATCAAGCAATGAAACAGTTTCACCTCTATAGCAACTTCGCAAGGATCATCGAGCAGAACAGGTATGTCATATCCCTTTCTTCACTATCTTGCTTGTGTGTGTTATAGATTTTCCCCACAACAGCCCCAATTTCCACCCAGATGAATAGATTCAGAATCAAAGCAGTCTTTGTCCTGTTGCAGACAACGAGAGCATTTGAGATGAGATCATGAGACAGTCACAGTCCAACATATTAAAGCAATTTTATAATTAGACAGTTTTGTGGTTGTCCTTGGGTACCCCTTCCATTGTTCTTGCAACTCCCCTTTTATTGTGCCTCTTACGTACACAAGGCTGCCCACGTGAGTGGCAGCTGCCCACATCCCTGTGTGCCTTCACGGACCACTTGCACATTATTTCAGGAGGCAGCGTAAAAGGGAAGGTACTATGCTCCTGTGCATTTCTCTTCAGATCTTCATACTCCTGTTCATTTCACTTCAGATGCATTTCTCTTCAGATCTTCATACTCCTGTTCATTTCACTTCAGATGCATTTCTCTTCAGATCTTCATACTCCTGTGCATTTCACTTCAGATCTTCAGCTTATACTTCTTAGTCTTTGTGTCTGTCCTTCATCTTCGTACTTCCGTTCATTTCATTTCTGATCTTCAAAGGGCAGGAAAGAAATATGTGAAGGGCAGGATAGAGTATAAGATGCGAAGGGCAGGGAAGAGGTGTATGACGAGCTTCGCAGAATTCAAAATATTCACCGCTGGAACATACCACTCGAGAATGGCATAGGGTTGCCAACAACATTTTGTGGATTGAGGAGCAGCTAATGCCTATGGGCCTATGGCAAGTGGCCACCCCTACAGACAGGACAGGACCGGTTCGGGTGTGGGCTATGGAAGCACCACATCCAACTTTCGCAGTCGCCGTTGCTGCATCGAATGCCACGGCGCGGACAGATGTCACAGGCCACGGCGCGGACAGATGTAACAGGCTCTATGAACACAGGCACGTTGACTGCAGTTATAGAAGGCATTGCCGTTCCAGCCCCTGTCTACAAATTGGACATGACATGTCAGGGTGCCATACATGAGTGCAGTCTAGACTGTCGTCGTTCATATGGAAGCATCTTGTGTGTGTGTGTGTGTGTGTGTGTGTGTGTGTGTGTGTGTGTGTGTGTGTGTGTGTGTGTGTGTGTGTGTGTGTTTGTGTGCGGGCTGTTACACCCAACTTTCACCGAATCACCGGGAGGTGATTTCCACCTACGGGAGGGCTAAGCCAAGATCCCTGGGGAGGGGGTGACTTTCACCCAAAGAAGGAGTATGCCGAGCGCCGCGGCATGCGTTTCGGAGAACAAGCTGCTAAACCGCCACCGTTGTGGGAGGGGTGATTTTCACCGAAGGGTAAGTTTCCCATAGAGTACGCATCGAGCTGTCCGCGTGTGGACCATACATCGAAAGCCAATATATGGAAAAGGGACGAAAGTTCAAGAAATTGCGTGAGTGACAAAATCCACAAAGCAAATTGGAAACACAGGAAACAAACAATCAAAAAAAAAAACACAAGCCTGGAAAACAGGCTGTTTTTTTTTTTGAAACATGAAAAAGAAACCAGGTAACAGGACTTGCGCTCCCAGAATGGATAAGGAGCCAGAACCATAAAGGTTCTGTTAAAATAATAATTAAAAAAAGAAAAGAAAAGCTAGGCTACCAGCCGGGCCGCCTGGGTCACCCTATTTTCCTGGGCGGCCCGGCATGCCGAAAAATCAACTAAACAACTTTTGCCTCAGGGTCACATCGACATTCTTTACCAAATTTCAAATAAAAATTTAAATAGAAAAATTATATACATATATATATTGTCAAAACTGTCCCATGAACCGTACGAGTCAGAAACCTGTCTCTTATACACATCTAGATGTGTATAAGAGACAGGTGTGTGTGTGTGCATGCACACACGCGTGTGAGA